TACATGGTGTTTAACTCAAGTTGCACACTTGCGTGGTGTGCAAATTTTAGACGTTTTGTAAACGTTTAAATTCTGCACACTTGGGCACACACAGTTGTATGCTGTCAATAGGGAACCATACGGTGTACAGCTGCTACACTTTCGGAAGTGTCGAAATTTTAAACACCAATTGACGTATAACAAAGTTAGACACCACAAAGTGTCGAGGAAATGCACACTTGAACTTAAACGTCAATTGACGTGCAAAATTAAACACTTGTTTTACTAGTGAATGCTTGCAAACTATATTCTTTGCAACGTTGCAAAGAATTTGTGAGCATTGTATTGCAAAGAATTAGTTCGTATTGCAAAGAAGTTCTTTGCAAGCTGGCAGAATCCTTGCAAACAATGTGTTTGCATTGCAAAGAAATTGTTTGTAAGCTTGCGAAGAACTAGTTCGTATTACGATGCTTGAAAATTCTTCGCAAGCTGCAAAGAAAATAGTTTGCAATACGAACCTGTTCTTTGCAAGCATTTTGCAGTGTAATCGAGAATACTGTACAAGATTTAACACGAATTTTTCTCAAATTAGGGCCGAAATGCATTTTTTTACGAATTTGGCATGATGGGTATCGATTCTGGCAATGCGAGGGTGAACTATGCGTTTAGGATGTTTAAAATGATGCTGTAGTACTTTTCTCACGCTGGCTGACGCATCAGGTATACTGTTACGCACCGTGAGAAGGGTACCCCATCAGATAGTCGTCTTGCCAACAGAGCTTCAGGCGTGATTCAGGGGTCGATTCGGGATACATCAAACCCATCAAACTTAAAAATGACATCTAGGGATGGGCGATTTTTAATCGATCTCGTCAGAATCGACCTTTTAAGGTTCGATTTTCGATCTTTTGAATCGATCTCACTGACAGGCGATATCAACTGGATCGATTCGCAGACGTCCGATCTTCAGAGCGATTCACCCCTATAGTATAACCACGAAATTTGGTTCCCTTGCCCTTCCGGTAGAACATTTTCACTGCGGCGCGCTAGCATACTGTCTAGTTCTAGTAGTGTTAGTGTCCAGTAGTTCAACTAACAAGAAGAATATTTTCTTTAAATTGCACGAAATATTCAATTTTTAACAAATGTGATCTTATCTGGCGAATTCGACAAAAAAATATTCGATCTAGATCGATCTGGCTGAGATCGATCTTTTTAACACGATTAAAAGGTGGATCAATTTGAACCATTTTGATTGAGATCGATCCACGAGATCGATCTTTTGCCATTCGATCCCTATCCCTTATCGTCATGCAATCCTGCCATAAAATCAAAAACATAAAAAAAAATTAAGACAAACCAAAAGTAGTAAACCATTGCCTTATTTTCAAAAACGCTACTCACCAGACTGAGGAAGATGATGTGTTAGGAGATATGATTAGGGGTAGCAAGACATACATATACATTTTATGTATTCGGACCTTTTATAGTGAAGACAAATATATATTCAAATAACATTTAAGGTCGGGGTCGCTTTCCAAACGCCCCTAAACCACAACTAAATTTTGCAGCACGAAACCTTTAATGCTACATGTTTGGTCTAATTTATCTCGACTCGACCCCTGAATTACGACTGAAGCTCTGTTGGCAAGACGACTATCTGATGCGGGTACTTTTCTCACGGTGCGTAACGGTACCTCATGCGTCAGGCACCGTGATAAAAGTACTCCAGCATCATTTTAAACATTTTTAACGCATAGTTCACTCGCGCATAGCCGGAATCGATACCCATCATGCCAAATTCGTAAAAAAA